TTGTCCTGGGAGCCTGGAAGGGTTTCAGGAACGAGGGAGGGCTGACCAGTGTCAGCTACAGGAACCTCGTGGAGGAGGCCGAGTGGAGAGTCCTGACAAGTCTGTTTCAGTGGACCAGTGGGGGCCTCACTGGGAAGGATCTAAGAGAGACTAGGAGAGACGTTAGAAATGGAGAGTGCTGGCAAGTCTTTCCAGAAATTTCGCTGAAAACGAAGAAGATAAATGAGGCACTGGCTGAAGGAGATGTGGAGTCCAGAGGGAGATTGGAAGGGATGGTGATGGGGGCTCACTTTTCCCCAACTGTTTCCATATTCACAGTGAAACACAGTGTGAAGCATCAGCTGAGAGTGAGGATGCAGAGGAAGCTTTAGAGGTGTTAGGAGAAAGGAGAACGCGTGAAAAGAAAGTCCACTAGGCCTAGCTCTTCAGAGTGTGGTACCCAGCAGCAGCTGGATTCAGTGATGCTGTGAGCTGATTAGAAGTGCAGAATCTCGGGCCTCACCCCAGAGCTGGTGAACAAGAGTTTGCACTTTACCATTTCCCAGGTGATTGGTCCGCACCCATCTGGGAAATGGGGGAGTGAAGGGAGCCGGGAGGAAGACGGGGCAGGACCCAGGCCTGTGGAAGGCTGCTGTTGGTGGACGGGAGACAGCTCAGCAGGGTTTGTGTTTTCTCCAGCCTCCCACAGCCACAGGGGCAGGCGTAGGGTAGAGAGGCGGGTGTTACCCAGCGCTGGGGGTTTGCCAGGCCTGTAAAGCAGATGGGGAACAGCAGACCAGCGGAAGGCTACGTGTGAGCGTGGCTGACTGGGGGGGTTTGGGAGCCTAAGCTGCGACAGGAGAGAGGTGGGGGCTCACGGGGAGGAGGGGGAGTGGGCACACAGCTCGGAACCCTCTGGGGGCGGTTGAAGATGGGTTCCTATGAGGCACGCCAGGCCGGCTGTTCTGAGTCTTTAGCAACCTCAGTTTCTGACAGGTGCCTGAGGGTTTGTTATCCCCCCAAAAAGGAAAACAAAAAGTCCTTGTCTTACCCGAAAGACAAGATTACAGACGGGAGATGGAGAGCGTTGTGTAGTGGAAGATTTTAAAGGATTTATTTAGGAAAAAAGAAGTACCCCTCCAAGAGCGGGTGGTGGGCTGATCCAAAGGGCGAAAGCGTCGATCTTTGCCCATTTTCTTACATCCTCGCTTAGAGGTGGTCTTTTGATTGGTTGATGGCTCTTGCGCCTGGAGTGCTTAGTCATTCATGTTTGGCCTCTTTGCACATGTCCTTACCCATGACACACACAGAACAACCCATGAGGGGCGGGGCTAAATGGCAATGTTAATTATATTACAATGAGCACTAGGTCATGTCTGGTTAGGTCCTTGTCGCTATGTGCAGTTGCGGCTGTTGGGTCCTGACTAGTTTCTTGTTGGCACTCATTTAGAGGAAGTAAAGCCCCTTTATGCTGGAGGGGGCATAACACCATCTTCTGGACCCTCCTCCCTCTCCTCCACCTGTCTGCCTGGTGCCCCCACTTACCTAACCACCTAACAGGTTGGCAAGTGCCTTTACGCTGCGCTTTGTGAGACATTGACCTAGACTCTCAGAGAACCAGGGCTTCACAGCCAGATACTTGGCAAGAACTGAAACATGGTGCCAGACAGTCGGATCCCACTGCCTGGGGATTTCATGTATCTGCTTACCTGTGCTACTGCTGACATGATTACAAAGATTCATTATCTTAGAAGATTTATTAGATAATCTAACATTAATATCTGTAAAATTGCCATAAGAAGTGATGCCCTCTAGAGATGTGACACTCTTTTCAATGGAATTTCATCAAATTCTATGACCATCTACTTTAAAGACAGAGAATCAAAACTGAACTAAGATGGCATAATTATGCATTTCACATATGTGCCTGTGACTTGGTATTTTGTATTCCCCACAGCCAAGGATGGTGATTACTGGCGACTGCTGGTACCTGGAAACTATAAACTTACAGCCTCTGCACCGGGCTATCTGGCAGTAACAAAGAAAGTGGCGGTTCCTTATAGCCCTGCTGTCAGGGTAAGTGATCATGACAATAGCTAAGACTTATGAAGCACTTACTGCGGGTCAGGCATATTTAAGGCTCTTATATTTAATGTTCATGATAACCCTAGAAACTGTCACTATCCCCATTTAACAGATGAGAAAACTGAGGCCTAGCAAATTTAAGTGACTTGCCCAAGGGCTCAGTGGTTGATTTAATACCACTCAATGTGAAGCCCTGTTACCATTTCCCAGTTTTTGAAGAGATCCTCCAAAAAAATGAAATAAAACTTTAAAACATTCAACTTTTATTTGCTGACCCTTGATTTTAGTCTAAGTGATAGTCTGTTCGATTTATCTTCTTACTTCTAGCACTTGGAATAATACCTTACACAGTAAGTACTTGGAAAAATAAATTAGTCCTGCAGGGTAATTTTAGGCCTTAACTAAACATTTATTAAGCACCTGCTATAAGCAAGGCCCTCTATGCTAAGCACTACCAAATATGACACCTTCTTTAAGTAGATACCATGTATCTTACTAGGAAGGTGATGGGGAGGAGACCACAGGTCTCTTGCAGCAGGGTGTTACTACTGTCCTGTATCACATCACTGGGACTGTGGAATGGCCTACAGGGTTTCCAATTAAATGGCTTACTTGAAGTGAATTTATTGTGTTTCTGTTTAGGCACCCAAACTTGGGAGTATAAATGCTTGGTTTTTAACCGGTGCTTTGGTTTCGATTGTGTGTATGCGTACATTAGGTTGTATGTGTATTAGAATCGGGAGGTAAATTTGGGCAAATGAAACCTGGACAAATGTAGCTCCAGAACCAGGTTGAGAAAGGTTCTGCTATTTTGACCCTTAGCCTTTCTAGCAAGTGTTAGTTCGAGGAGGTGGTGAGTAACAACTTTCCTAATAACCAGAGGTGTAAGTGTCCGAACCAGAGAACTCTGAGTTCCATCTGGAAGGGGGGTGGGTATCTCGTGGGCCCAGGGAGGACTAGCGTTGGGAGCTGCAGAGCCTGAACAGTCCTTTACGCAGAAGTGCATGAACTCTCCATACCTGATGAGGACGCCCAGTTCACATGCGAGCTGAGTTCCTGGACCACTGGCCTTCGTGGTGGTTTGGGTATGTGTGTGTTCCCATCAGTTCAACAGACTCAGGATTCTAGAAAGTGGAACCCTGTGATTTGGGACACCAGGACACTCAACTGCATTCTTCCATATTCCCCCAGCTTTTAGGAGAAAATTCAAGGTTGACAGGAGAAGCTCATTGGATAGTCAAAAGCAGAAGACAAATTATAAGTCATATCTTTTATGGAGGGCGGGGGAAGAGTGCTTTTAAATAATCTGCTTTCCAGCAATCCTACAAAGTTCCTAGATCAAAGCATATTTCAAACATAATGGCTTTGGATATTCTTGTCCCTGAAAGTATCTTTTTGCTTATCATGAGAGATTTTTTAGGATATACTTACATTCAGGAGGCAGGGTTGCGCTTTATTCTAGTAAACTATAAACCTGCTCTTTTCTAATTTGTTTTTAAAAGTGCATAATCAGTTTGATAACAACATATTCTTATTTTCTCCTTTAGGTCGATTTTGAACTGGAGTCATTTTCTGAAAGGAAAGAAGAGGAGAAGGAAGAATTGATGGAATGGTGGAAAATGATGTCAGAAACTCTAAATTTTTAAAAAAGCTTCTAATTAGCTGCTTTTAATCTCTATATAATGTAGTATGATATAATGTAGTCGTTTTCTTTTAGATTTTGTGCAGTTCATATTTAACATTGATTTATTTTTTACGCATTTAAATATTAATAGACATTACATAAATAGACTCTTAGGTAAAAATATAAGAACTTGGTCTATAACATACATTTTTCCTACATACATGACACGGAGGACCATAAAGAGATTTCAGTGATTTTGCCATTTTAGGCTTAGATGCAATATTTCACATGTTATTTACAGTAGAGAACTTTTTAAGTAATTCTAGCTTTTAAAAATTAGTGAGGCCTTTTAATGTAATCGGTGACAGTATCACGTAATGAATGCCATTGGAAAGGTCAACAGCTACAGCTTGAGTTGTGAACACAATATATTGCAAGATTTAATTAGTCCAGTGTAAATCGCCATTTGTCTCTTGTGCTGACCAGCTACATAAGCATGATCTTGTTACTGCATTCTTGACGGGAAGAAAATGTAAATGTTTAGCAAGAGGTTTTACGAAGGGAATAGAAATTGACTTCTTGCTTGTTCATATGGGGGCACTGCTATGGTATTATTCAGTCTGTTAACACTACTTCGGAGTGTAGGGTTTCTCTTGGTGGTAGATTGTCCCAGAATTGCATTCTGAATGAATAAAGGTTAAAAAAAAATCCCCATGGTCTGTATTTTAATTCTCTGTGATTTTTTTGGTCTGGAATTGTGGTCTCGTGATTTAAAAAAAAGCATGCCGTTGACAGTGGCCTCTCACTGGTCCATCCTCTGTACTTTGAAATGTATTACGTGACTGCTGCATGCCAAGCACAGTGCAAGCTCTGAGCACTGTTTTGGTGGACAGAAGGGTCTGATTCCATAGATCTTAGGGATCAGTTGTGGACACAGACTTTAAATAAACTTATGCACAAATGAATATGTGCTTATGCATTGTGATGAGTAAATGGCAGGAAGGACTGATATGTAGGGAAAGAGCGTCAGAGCAACTTCCGTTAGCCTGGATGAGGGCGCTCAGGGGTGGCCTCTCATGCATGTGAGCAATGCGGAATGCCTGAGCGCAGGGGGAGTGAGTGTGTGTGTGTGTGTGTGTTCGTGCGCATTTACGGTAGTGGTGGTGTGAATGCTCAACTCTCTAGGTGCAGATTTTTGTTAAAATAGTGCTCACTGTTGTGGGAACAGACCCCTGGCTATATAATGGCGTAAACACAATAGAAGTGTATTTCTTATTCAGGTTCCTGTACCGGGCAGAAGGC